ATTCTTCCTAATGTACAGTAAATCATATGATTTTCTAGTTTCCAATGAAAAATGAAATTCTAGCATGAAGTGAAATTCTGTATAAAGACATTGAGAAATTGAAATTGAGCTATAATAATAATTCTGTCAGACAAAAAGGATTAAATGTACCTCTAGCAAGCAAGATTTAACACACACACACACACACACACACACACAGCTTAAATGCTTTATATAAACAGAAAATTCTGTTTGAAATTAATGTTTGAAAAAGCAGTGAAAAATCAGCATCTTGATTATAATGTTGTTGTTTTATCCCCCTAAGAGAGAAATTGAGATTATTTTTAATCCAGGGAGGCGCTTAGCAAAAACAATAGCATGACCAAGGGGACACACTGAGGGATGCAAATATGGATACATTTTGTCTGCCAAATATAACAAAGAGAAACAACATGGGGAAGCTGTCTGTGCAATCTGTGAAAGGCTTTTAGGGAATGCAGGAAAAATGAAATATAGATTGAAAACCATCTACGTGATTACATTTACTCTGAAAGGCTGAGACAGATAATAATAATAATAATAATATGCCATTTAGCAGACGCTTTTATCCAAAGCGACTTACAGTCATGCGTGCATACATTTTTGTGTATGGGTGGTCCCGGGGATCGAACCCACTACCTTGGCGTTACAGGCGCCGTGCTCTACCAGCTGAGCTACAGAGGACCACAGATGTCATCGAGCTTATATTAATCAATACAAAACCATAAAGCATGATGATAATCTAATCACTGCATTACCATGTTAGCTCTCCACATTGGAAAACTGGTGTTACAAAAGCCAATATGTATATAGACCAAGCCAGGATCCAAATATGGCATTTTTGTCAATTCTGGTTCATGTTCATGCTCAAATTATATTTGTTAGGCATTGTTTTCATATTTATTTCATACAGCAAACAACATCTGCTTAGTTTGAATGATCAACACTATAACATATGTTCACATACTTTTGTTTAGACTCAGGCCTATTCACTAAAAGATACTCTCAACTTCTTAACCAAGGCCCCCTGTGCTCTCCCAACTCCCATTTAGCTACATCCTATATCAGTCATGCCATTTAGCTGCTGGTTGACTGTCTCTCACTGCTGAGGATGTCAGGCAGGCCCCCTCCCTCTACAGAGTGTCCTCATCAGAGCGGAATGAACCTGGCGCTGACACTAATAAAGAATACCATCTGTGCCTGGCAGGCGGAAGGAAAGAGGCGAGTGAACCAATGAACTTCTCTTTAGCATCTCCTCTCTCACCCCATGCTCCCCTCAGATGATGAAAGGGGAAGAGTGCAGGGGTAATTAAATTCCAGCAGGGGTCAGGGGCGACCCCGATAGCACTATCTGTAACAGGGTCAGCAGAGACATTATGACTGTGAAGTTCAGAAATGTCAAAGAGACTAATGGTGGAAAAAGGAAAAAGCATTATCTTCAAATTGATCCATCTCTCAGACCATCACATACAGTTCAACAATATGAGTATGGTACTCAGAGTACCTATGGGGAGGAAAATAGCCCCCTGGTCTCATGTAGTGGAGAGGTGAAGTTGTATTATCGCCCACTTCATCTGAGAGAAGACTTATATAAATTATATAAACATTTAAAAAATGACTAGGTCTACATGTGTGTTCATTGTGCCTTTTTTATTTTCTGTATGGTTGAGAATCCACTTTCAGCTTCAAATTTGGATTTGGAATTATGACAGGATGCGATTCTTTGATAATGTATTGCCAAATATATTTATAACTAACCCCCTTCTGTCTGTGGTATTGCCACCTGCTGGCTTACATTGCCTCTCACTGTACTGCACTCCTGAGAGTTTTACGAGATTACGCATGTTGAATACACCAAGGCTGGCTGACTGGAATGTGGACGGCCCAGTCTGGAAACAATTGGCAGGACTACAAGCACGAGTCTGTGAAGTAAGATATCAATTTATCTGATTACAAAATGTATTCGAGAAGGTTTACAAGTCCATTTATTTCAGTTAAAGAAATGTTTGTCACGTAATTGAATTAGGCTTTACAGCCACTGTATCAGACTGTCATCATGACATTAGCTAGCGTGTCTAGCTAGGTAAAAGTTAGCTGTGGTAACGTTAGCCTAGCTACACTCCTCAATGGAAATGTATATGTAGCAGCACTAACGTGAAGTTTATCAAAACCAATCGATTATAGGGCACAGGGGCAGCTATTGTGAGAATTGGTCGGCCTAAGTACGTGTCGCAGCCTAAATAATTAACATTATACTATTGATTATTTGAATGAAAATGCCATCGAGCTGCAAGGCACATTGAATTGAATGACGCCACACACACACTGGGTGGATTCGATTATGCTGGGACACGGGTCTATGCCCCCGTACATGAAAGGGCAAAAGCGGTGAGGGAGGAGCGAACTTTAGAAATCGAACAATAATCTCTGCCGCTCGGTCATGTTGACAACAAGTCAGCATGGTGGATTGTCTAGAAACAAACATATCATATAAATATATGTTAGAATTTTCAAACGTTTGCATGTGAAAACAGACACTTGCTCGATATTGTGTCCTTTCATACTGTGTATACAAAACATTAAGAACACCTGCTCTTTCCATTACATAGACTGACCAGCTGAAAGCTATGATCCCTTATTGTTGTCACTTTTTACATCCACTTCAATCAGTGCAGATGAAGGGGAGGAGACAGGTTAAATAATGATTTTTAAGCCTTAAGACAATTGAGACATTGTCTGTGTGCCATTCAGAGGTGCCTTTGAACAGGGTATGGTAGTTGGTGCCAGACGCACCGGTTTTTGTCAAGAACTGCAACGCTGCTGGGTTTTTCACACTCAACAGTTTCCCGTGTGTATCAAGAATGGTCCACCACCCAAAGGACATCCTGACAACTTCACACAACTGTGGGAAGCATTGGAGTCAACATGGGCCAGCATCCCTGTGGAAAACTTTCAACACCTTGTAGGTGTTCCTAAGGTTTGGTATACTCAGTGTATACAGTCATACTCTGAATCGGTATTCCTGTGATAACAAGGAATTCCCCTTGACCACGCCTACACATTGGGGAAAAGAGCCTACAACTATTTTTTTTGTTATACAGAAATAACAAAACATGTTGAAAAGCTGCTGTGTTGTTCAATGTAACCAGGCCAAAAAATCCCGACCTACGGTTCGCAATGCTCCCACGTAGGGAAGAGAAGAGCCCAGTGGCGTCAGGCTATTCGGTATGGGAAATTGTGGGGACCCGGTGTCCAAGTAGGGAAAACATTTCATCACAGGTAAGACATTTAACTTGTTTAGTATAGGGGTAAATCCATTTTAATTGAATCACTTTTTGACAGTACCCCTTTTGATTTGAACAAAACCTTCCATACATATTTGCCTATTGTAGAAGTGCACAGAAAGTGACTTTTTGGACCTGAATGCCAAAACATTCAAGAGATAAAGGTGCTCAATGGTTTTTCTAATTTTGCATACCCCACCATACCATGAGACATGTCTTCATCACTGGAAAAGATTAACGGTTGATATAATTTACAAACAGCGTTGTCAAACTGTTTTATAATTTCAGGAGATAAAAAAAAGTAACAATATTAACCTATTTTACACCATCTAAGGTTTCTGTGTTGTGCCCGCTATTGGTTGAGACTTGAGACAGAACATTCTCTTGAATACAGGGTGGGTGTCATGTCCCATGCCGAATAGCCAGAATATATTTACCAGGTTACATGTACATTTAACAATACAGCAGCTTTTCGGCATGTTCTGTTATCTCTGTATAACAAAAACTGGACAACGAAGTTTGCTCTTTTACAATGGAGGTCAATGGGAAAGAATGTTTGTTTTCTGCAATTTGTGGGCGTGGTAGAGGGGAATTCCTTCTTATGACATAAATATTGACTTAGAGTATATTCTCCACCTACTCTCCACATGGAATCATTCCACATCACGGGTCTTCAACCTTTTCTTGCCCAGGGACCCCCTTTCAGGCAAACTGGCGACCCACGGATCCCCATCATACATTAGCCAAAACATTTTTTTCACATATTTTCTTATCAGCAGGTGAATGATAATGGCAAGGAGAACTAATCATTATAATTTTGGTAGATAGCGTTTCATTATTTTTGACCTTCCCACATAATTAGAAGAGGAAGTGTAAACTCAAACAGCCTATTAGCTAAGAAAGAAAGAAGATATTCTCCTCTCTTCTACTGTAGGTATGTAATTCAAAATGTGTTTATTCTGTTGTTGCCAGGGTAGCACTTGGGGATGTGTGAAACTTACTCCGCAGCCTGAAGTGTCCCCACTTGCGCCAGCGAATAGCTAGCTTTTCGCGTGGCACCGACTGGTAAGACTGTTCAGGAGGGTGGTCACGTGTTCTAGCAAGGTAGAGGTCAGAGTTCGCACCAGGTATGGGAAGAATCGGGAAGTAGTGGTACAAGCAGCGTGATGTACTTTACACTACAAATATTCATAAAAAACATTACAATACAAATAAAAAATAAAACATTTTAGATTTGAGGACCCCCTACAGTACCTGCATAAATTGGCAAAAGGATTGTCTACAACGGAATGTATGTTTTTTTTATGTGGAACAGGGGTATTTAACCAGAGGTCCACGGACCCCTAGGGAGCTGCGGACCCCCGGTTGAATACCCCTGTTCCACATAAAAAAATTATACATGCGTAGGCTACAATGATGTATAGTAGCTATGTCTGTTCTGTTGTAGACAATCATTTTGCCAATTTATGCATGTTGTGGTTGAATAACATCTTATTGGTAGCCCATGACACGATGTGTACCATTTTATTTGATGTGGTTATCTACTGTTTTAAGCCCAGGAACAACAATTTTAAAAGTGTAATTTCTGATGCGACATAGTAGTGTTTTTTTTATCCAAAGATGTATGTGTGTCATTTGACTATATTCTTCAGAGTACGTAACATTAACTTCTCTGGGTATGCCACATTTATTTATCCTAGGTACTGACGACAACATGGAGGAAGTCATGAGCAGGCTGCAGACATTGAGTCCAGATCAACTACGGCAGGAGATTATCAGGGCAGGGCTGAAGTGTGGCCCCCTTACCACTACTACAAGAGCCATCTTTGAGAGGAAGCTGGCCAGAGCCCTCCTGGAGAAGCAAGTAGGGGATGGCGGGGTGACTGATAGAGGTAGCTCCTCCAATACAGAGTCTAATGGACCCACAACAAACAGAGTAGAAACTGACCACAATCTGGAACTCAAATCATCAGCAGAGGAGGGCAAAGAGACAGAGGAATTGGATGAACCAGAATCTCCTCTTGTTTACTATGGTGTATGTCCTCATTGGGAGGAGTCTGTGGTAGCTGATGGTAAGACCTATTTTTGTCCTATGAATAGTGCATGGTAGAGATTGTCTGAGTTCAATGTAAATGTCTCTATGTTCCCCCCAATAGAAAAAGTCCATGTATATGTGGACCGGAAGAAAGCTCTGAGAGCAATGATGACAATGAAAGGGTCCAGATTTAAGCCCTTCTCAACACGAGAGGAAGCTGAGAAATTCTCAAAAGGCATCAACGACAATAGCCCTTCGGCCAGCACATCCGCACCAGATGGGCCCCAGAGGGTGCTGGAACCTGTAGTCCATACAGGTATGTCTGCTTCATAACATAGCTGTATCTAATACAGAGCCACTATATAGATAGAGAGCTAGATGGATCATTCACCTCTTTTGTGTCATGTAAAATTAACAAGAAAAGCATTTTTAGATTTAGTTACTCCCTCCGCACTGATCAACATGCATACACCAACACTCTTGTCTTCCCAGGCAGCCCTATCGCAGGGGGAACTTCACCTGTGAACCTGGAGAGGGCCAATGAGTTCCGTAGCCCCCGCACCCAGGACCTGACAGCAAAGCTGAGGAAGGCTGTGGAGAAGGGGGACAAGGAAGCCTTCAGCAGGCTGGTCTGGTCCAACCCGCGCTACCTCATCGGATCTGGAGACAACCCCACCATCGTCCATGTATGGTTCATATGATTCATGCATCTACTATCTCCATGAGAGCAGAAAGGTACTTCACGTTCTCTTACGTGGTAAAATAACTAATCGTCTTCCTGTTTGTAGGAAGGGTGCCATTACAATGTACTGCATGTGGCGGCCAAAGAGAACCAGTCTGGCATGGTCCAGCTCCTCCTGGACACCCTGGAGAGCCCAGACTTCATGAGACTCATGTATCCTGATGACCAGGAGGCCATGCTACACCAACGCATCCGTTACCTCGTTGACCTGTACCTCAACACACCTGACAAAGCAGTGAGAACTTATATGAACTGTATTTGTGTAAAACACAGGTAGTTGGTAGTCGGCACAATGCACACATACAGTGGGGGAAAAAGTATTTAGTCAGCCACCAATTGTGCAAGTTCTCCCACTTAAAAAGATGAGAGAGGCCTGTAATTTTCATCATAGGTACACGTCAACTATGACAGACAAATGGAGAGAAAAAAATCCAGAAAATCACATTGTAGGATTTTTAATGAATTTATTTGCAAATTATGGTGGAAAATAAGTATTTGGTCACCTACAAACAAGCAAGATTTCTGGCTCTCACAGACCTGTAACTTCTTCTTTAAGAGGCTCCTCTGTCCTCCACTCGTTACCTGTATTAATGGCACCTGTTTGAACTTGTTATCAGTATAAAAGACACCTGTCCACAACCTCAAACAGTCACACTCCAAACTCCACTATGGCCAAGACCAAAGAGCTGTCAAAAGACACCAGAAACAAAATTGTAGACATGCACCAGGCTGGGAAGACTGAATCTGCAATAGGTAAGCAGCTTGGTTTGAAGAAATCAACTGTGGGAGCAATTATTAGGAAATGGAAGACATACAAGACCACTGATAATCTACCTCGATCTGGGGCTCCACGCAAGATCTCACCCCGTGGGGTCAAAATGATCACAAGAATGACCTGTGAATGACCTGCAGAGAGCTGGGACCAAAGTAACAAAGCCTACCATCAGTAACACACTACGCCGCCAGGGACTCAAATCCTGCAGTGCCAGACGTGTCCCCCTGCTTAAGCCAGTACATGTCCAGGCCCGTCTGAAGTTTGCTAGAGTGCATTTGGATGATCCAGAAGAGGATTGGGAGAATGTCATATGGTCAGATAAAACCAAAATATAACTTTTTGGTAAAAACTCAACTCGTCGTGTTTGGAGGACAAAGAATGCTGAGTTGCATCCAAAGAACACCATACCTACTGTGAAGCATGGGTGTGGAAACATCATGCTTTGGGGCTGTTTTTCTGCAAAGGGACCAGGACGACTGATCCGTGTAAAGGAAAGAATGAATGGGGCCATGTATCGTGAGATTTTGAGTGAAAACCTCCTTCCATCAGCAAGGGCATTGAAGATGAAACGTGGCTTGGTCTTTCAGCATGACAATGATCCCAAACACACCGCCCGGGCAACGAAGGAGTGGCTTCGTAAGAAGCATTTCAAGGTCCTGGAGTGGCCTAGCCAGTCTCCAGATCTCAACCCCATAGAAAATCTTTGTAGGGAGTTGAAAGTCCGTGTTGCCCAGCGACAGCCCCAAAACATCACTGCTCTAGAGGAGATCTGCATGGAGGAATGGGCCAAAATACCAGCAACAGTGTGTGAAAACCTTGTGAAGACTTACAGAAAACGTTTGACCTGTGTCATTGCCAACAAAGGGTATATAAAAGTATTGAGAAACTTTTGTTATTGACCAAATACTTATTTTCCACTATAATTTGCAAATACATTCATAAAAAATCCTACAATGTGATTTTCGGGATATTTTTTTCTCATTTTGTCTGTCATAGTTGACGTGTACCTATGATGAAAATTACAGGCCTCTCATCTTTTTAAGTGGGAGAACTTGCACAATTGGTGGCTGACTAAATACTTTTTTCCCCCACTGTACATTGTCTGTTAATTAGAGTTAAAGTGTGTAAATAATGTATTAATAAGATGTACTGAATGTGTGTGATGTTCCTACAGAGCAATGAAACTCCTCTTCACTTTGCCTGTAAGTTTGGCTGTCCAGACGTGGTCAACGTGCTGTGTTGTCATCCTGCTACTGACAAACACCGGCAGAACAAGTACAACCAGAAGCCCTCTAGTGTAAGTCACATTACAGCTATGAAATACAGAATCACTTTTGTTGCACTTAAGCGTTCAATTTTTGCTCAGTAAGGTTTATTTCCCCCTGAATTTCATGCCAGAAACTGCACACTTTAGAAGACTAAATAGTTGTATTACTGCCTTTACAGGTGATATGTGAGAGGAAAAACAAAACCCCTTACATAAAAAAGAAAATCAATGAATATTTGGAGGGTGAGTTTAGATGGTTGCCAATGCTGGCTGTAACACCTTTTTGTGTGCAAATTCCAACTTGTGAACACATTGCTAACTTTTACCCTTGCTGACACAGAACGGTGCTATGTTCCCTTGCTGAGGGATACCAACAACAGCTTCCAGCCTGTGATTGGCTTGCCATGGTCCCCAAGCCCATTGGAGGTGGATTTTAATTGGCTGGGATCTGCAGTGGGCGGGAGTCCCATAGAGCCAGTCATGACTGTGAGAGCTTATGTGGGACCACTCAGTCCTTCTAAGGTAACACCATCATTTGAAATCATATTCATTCTCAATACCTTGGGAGTATTGGTATTACAATTTACCCCTCATGGTGAAGGTACATACAGCTGTCAGAATTCAGATATGTCATTGTTTTAGCACTATCCACAGAGTTTTTAAACTGGCGCGCGACATGATTCAATGCGCCAATAAATCAGCACAATCTACTTTTCGGTTTGATGGCGTCTTTCAGCTAAAATTGGGATCATGTATACTGTGCCAAGGTCGATACTAAAAAAGAGTAAGGAAGAGCAATGTACAATACGAAGAATTTAGCAAACAAGGCTTTGTGGTAAGTGCATGGAGGCTGCCATCTTTATGCACCTCCGCTATTCTATGTCTCTAAACGTCACAAGCCAGTAACTATTTGTCTTCCAGGCAGATGAGTTCCACAGACTATGGAGAACCCCACCCAGGGATCGAGCAGAGTATTTCCACCGTATTCTCAAATCTGACCCTGACCGGGGAGCAGAGCGTGTGGGGAGGTGAGTGAAAACAATAATAATGACAGTGGGCAAATGACCATTATTAGGATTAAACAAAATAACAAAACAGCATTTGGGTCCCAAAGGGGACAGACATTACAGTGGTATATTATCTGAGTGATCTCTACATTTACATCTCTATTGACAGGGAGATTGCGCATGACATGGGGCATCCTTGGGCAGAATACTGGGACTTCCTGGATAGCTTCATTGACCTGTCTACAGAGGAGGGACTGAGGAGGCTGGAGGAGTATCTGGATAGGAAGGACCAGAGTGAGCCTCCCCTAGAAGGATTTGGGAAGACCGAGGATACCGGTGATGGATTTAAAACATCAACCCCCTCCAAAGGTTAGCACTTCCATAGCAAACCTTAGAAACATGGCTTGTATGTGATAACGTCATATTATTAAAGGCTTAAAATTATAGTGGGAAATCCCCAAAAAACTATCTACAATTCATCATGTGGTTGATGTCATTTCAGAGGAGCAGAACCAGAGCCATGTCCCGATCAACCACATTCTGAATGACAGAAGGTGTCTATCAAAGGAGAAAGGTTCCCAGTCTCCTGTGTGTAACCTCCTGCCAGAGTTTGAGAAAGCCAGCCTAAAGGATGGCTCTGTCCAAGTGGAGGACCCGGAGGAGGTAAAGAGTGTTGAGGGCCGTCTGGCTCCCTCTGTACCCAGGAAAGAGGGACTGGACCTGGGGGATGGCAGTTTCTGGAGGATCTGGGAGGGGAGCCAGGGGAAGAGGCAGGTGGAGGAGCTCTCCAATCCCAGCTCAGAGGAGTATCTGACAGCAGATGAGGGCTCAGACTCCGAGGGCCCAGGTAGTCCCAGAGATAGGCGAGGCTCAGGCTCCTCTAGCGCATCTTACAAATCCACGAAGGGAGACGCCTCGAAAGAAACAATTCTGACGATCGACACCCCTACAAGACAAAGACAGGAACTGTTCATGGACGGGTAATTCTTTATTTACTTTAACAGTAAATTACATCAGTCAACCTGTCAAAATGATCTGCTGCATTTTAACAATCCATTTTTGTCTCGGTAACACAAGGATGTGTTAACCAATGTTCTTTGACTCTTTCTTGCAGGGAATCTCCCACCAAGTTAGACAGTGAGGTCCTGTCTGCAATGAATAACATGGAGATTGACCCTGAGAGAAACCCCTGCATTACTAAGTGGAGGAACACCATTCTGGCCTATCCCTCTTCACAGTGGCTAAGGTGAGCTAGATACCTATTCCGTCTCTTTATGCTGTGCCAACAGACTTATACCTGTATTGTCTTCGATGCTCCAGGTGGTTCATTCTGCTGATGTTGTGTATTTCCAGCTGGCCAAGGCCGACGAGGAGGAAAAGCTTGACTGGGACACCAGACTGTTCTCCGAACAGGCTCAGCTTTTGCAGCCCAGGCCCCCACACACCTGCCCAGAGCTGTTACACCCAGACCATCCTCTGCAGGACCCTCTTCCGCTCTCCAAACTGACACAGGGAAACCACAAGTAAACAGGATGTCACGTCCCAGGATCTGAAGGTGGTGTTGCACATACAAAAGGGCATGTTGGCCAACATCCTGCACCACCACAGCAGGTCCATAGTCCAACTGACTTTATAACCCAGGCAGGAAACCACTACATTGCCATTTAGCAGGTTACCTGTCCTTATTTTACCCTTGTCCTAGTTTCCATTTGTGCAACTCTTTCGGCTGTTCTATGCAAGGCACTGCTCCACTTAACACTATTACCTTATCAGGTAGCTATTCAACTGATATTTGCGCTAATGCTGCCTGCCTACAGCACTTATGCATGTCCTCAATGTAAGCATTCTCTTCCGGCAGATAGCATAGCTACAGATTACATTTTCAACTTGAAGCTACCCAACGGAGTGTACCATTTACCCAGTGCCGAAGTGATATGTAATGTGTGTGTATACAATGTGCAAAGATGCTTTATATATGAAATGTTCAAATAATGTTTTTATATTGTTAGTCACTACCTTATTCCAGAGATACATTTGGAGAGTTTTAAATTGTTTTAATTTATACCTATACACAAGAAGAATGATTGTGGCTGTATTTTTAGAACAGTTTATTCATAAAATGTAATAAAGCATTAAATAAATAAATGTACTAAGAAAAGACACATTATTCCTAATGTTTTTCCACACAAAATAATGATTCGTAACGTGGGCAAAACCATCTTATAGAGGAGAAATTATGGCTTCAAATGATGTGGCAGCATGAGGTCAGGTTACATGGGGTCAGCCAATAGTGGTGAAGGAGTGTCAGATACGGGCGAGTTTCAGGAGTCATAAAGCCTGAGTTGCCCATCATCCTAAATCCCACCCTGCCACTGGGTCTGATGGTGATCCAGGTGATGCTGCCATTATTCAGGCCCAGCCGCATCACACCTTTCCAGGAATCTATGCATTTTTTGAATGTTCACCTCACTGAGGACAATCACTCACCATGCATTAGCTGAGCTATGCTTGTGAAAATAAATGCAACTCCATTCCTAGGGTATTGATGACACTGACCTGCACACAAAGTAGCGAATAACGTTTGCATACCTGCCAACTTTGTCCTGGGTCCGCCTGGGTCCTGCAGTCGGTGAAAAGCAATTGCACTGCCTGCGTCTCAGAACTGCGGCCGCCTTGATCTCATGAGGTTATCGTTGCCCACGTGTGCATGATGTCAGAGAAAGTCGGGATCAAGTCGGACACATCTAACCAGCATGCATTGTGCGGTGATCGCCGGTGATCGATTCTGCGCAGACCTGGCTCATCTCAAATGAGCCTCTTGTCTATGATCTGTCGGCATGGTTATACTGGCCTGTGGCCTTCTTGGAGACCTTGATGATATCAGAGGGGGGCTCCCATTTGAAGCAGGGCTCCAGATTGGCCATCTTTATGGCCATTATTAAGGACAGGGTGCCATCCAATGCTAGGCTGTTTCTTCTCTTGGTTTTGTTCAGTCCCACAACTGAAAACACCCTCTCAGCATCTGCGTTTGCATGGGGCAACACCAGGACAAGCTTGGCGACGGCAGCAAGCCTCTCGAATTCTTTGGCTCCTGTCACCTATGGAAAATGCACCAAAACACAATGGAAAAACATACCTTGATTTTTGATTGATTAATACTGTAGGTTGATCCATTAACAAAGTTCAGATAAAAACATGCATAATTTGCAACATGCATGCATGACACATATATGCATGCAACAAGGCACTGGTCTAAGGCACTGCATCGCAGTGCTAACTGTGCCACTAGAGATCCTGGTTCGAATCCAGGCTCTGTCGCAGGCCGGCCGCGACCGGGAGACTCATGGGCGGCGCACAATTGGCCCAGCGTCGTCCAGGGTAGGGGAGGGAATGGCCGGCAGGGATGTAGCTCAGTTGATAGAGCGTGGCGTTTGCAATGCCAGGGTTGTGGGTTCAATTCCCACAGGGGGCCAGTATAAAAAAATATGTATTCACTAACTGTAAGTCGCTCTGGATAAGAGCGTCTGCTAAATGACTAAAATGTAAAATGTAAACAGATGTAGCCAAGCCACACCTGCCAAAAAAAAAGTTCAGTTTCGTCCTGCAGGGATATCATTGGCATGGTCTGATAATTTAGAAACTCCTCACCCAGAAGGTCATGCTCCTCTGGCCCATGGTATGGGAGGAGATGGGGAAACCTATTTATGAAAGTAGAGTTACAAGTTGTTACGTTTTAGGTATATAGTCATCAACCAGCAGCAGTTCATACACATCTTTGAGGAGAAGCCACATAAGAATATCTCATGTGCAGTTTAGGAGTGAACACACCTCATCATAAAACACAAGGGTATTTTAGCTATGATAGACAATAATTAGAGAAAAAAAACGAACCTTTCAACAAAGTACAGGACATCTTCGATGTCACTTTCAGCCCTCTGCCGTACATCTACAAATTGTGCGTGCTTGATCAGTGGCTCTTCCAGTGGCAGCTTCTTAAGTGCATAGTCCACAGCACTTGTCAGGAAACACAACACAGCTTCATGGAATGAATCCACCTGCTGTGGTGTGATGTCACCCTCGTCGAGTAATCTGTTAAGTTTAGCCCTGGTTGTGAACCCAATGTTCAACTTTCTTCCTGTCACAGATGCAGCATATCGGTATAAGGTACAAGGCTAAATATCACATATCACTGTGTTTGATCATAATAATAGTAAAATACTAACCTGGTAAATGGTTTGCCTTTTCTTTAAAGGCAATTTCACAAGGCTCCTCATGGCACTGCAGAGCTGCTGGAACCATAAACTTTGAACATAGCTTGCGTACGAATTTCACCATCTATAACAGACATTTACAAAAATAGTAGGCGAAACCTGTTTTAGAGGATCCCTGCAGATATCAGCAAGAAACACAGAATGGAAAAAAAACTGCAAAATCCAATCCCACCTCATCATGTAACAAAAATATTGATGACTGCTCTCTCTGAAGCAGCAAGTTGGTATGGTGGCTTGGAAGAACAGCAGGTACACTTCTGTCATGGGGTCAGTGAATGTCTGCACAAGTCTCTTGAACCTGGCCTGATTTTCATCTTGAATCAATCAATAAATAACACAAAACAATAGGTTGTCATTAATACAAGTACGTGACTAACAATCCATGTAGTTGCTGCATAATGAAATTGAAAATTGATGACCATACTAGCAGATTTGTAGTAGCTGGCCAGAGGTTCATACAGCCTCAGGATCCTCAGGACACAACATTCAAGGCTTAGCCAACAGACCGAGATATGCAGGAGGACCTCCATGTACTCCGCTTCATGGAGCTCACAAAACTCTGTTTTAGACATTAAATCCATATCATATATTTTCTACAGCTCAGCATTTCAGTATTACACTTAATAGTATCAAACATGCATACCTGTCAGGTATCCTTTCCGATTTGTGCTACCCTTGAACCAGTAACCGATGTCCACTACCATATCCTCCAAATCAAAACCGGACACCTGCAATGCATAAATCAATCATAACACATTCAGTCAATGCACGTAATTAGGATACAAATAAAAAGTATGTAAAGATGTAAAGATAAATCAGGCCTTAACTAACTTTAAAAACTCCCACTCCTGCAGCTTTGGCGGTGTTATGTGCCACATGACAAGGACAACCATGAATATAGGTGTTGGGATGCTTCTGGAGCACCCTAGAGGCAATGGAATTACGTGGTCCAATGTTCACAGCTGCATTGTCAACTGAGAGACCAATGCAGTTCTCCCAAGGGATGCCATGCTCCTCTATGGTGGAGTTCATTTTGGTGAAGATCTCACTTGCTGTCCCACACCTCGTCCCACTTGTTGTGCACATATTTAAAAACTGGTGGACAACTTTGCTGCCCATGAAGACCCGGACAGTAAGCGGGTTCATCTTTTCCACTCCTATAATGACAAGTTAGAATCATACAGATGTTCATGTTATTAGATGTTTAAAAATACACAAAGCACATGTTTTGCAGAGGAGAAAAATCTCAAATAGTTTGTGAAATACCAGTGCCATTCGACCCATCCGTAACAAGGGTATACAGGGCTTTTTTCATCTCCTTCACAAGCTCCTGTGTGAAATATGGTGCGAGTGCTTCATTGGTAATGCAGGATGACTTAGTCCTGGCACACCTGTACTCCTGCGCTGTCTTCGAATCTCCTAAACATTATTTTAGGAGAGGCCCCAAGTGGTCCGCAAAGGCTAGGGGGACGTTGTGAACTACCAACCCAGCTGTCATTTTGACCTCAGCCCTTTTTGTCTGTAAGAAATAAAAAATTATTTATCCTCCCAAAATACCATAGTTTATTTAAAATAGACGCCTGCGATAATAGGGCACAGGTAAAAAACACATTCAGCAACTAAGATCTCAAATTAAGAAAACTGGACTGTACTACACTGAAATACAAACCACAAATTAGTCAAAACTATCAACCATGACTTTACCGTGATCAACTAGAACACAAAACTCTTGACAGAATCATTACACATATCATACCTTAACCTCTTGTGCAGACATACCCCCAACAGATGGAACGGCCATTGCATATTGGGATATTGTGGACTGGAGAGCTCGTTGCTTATCTTGGTGGCTTTTGCTTTTTATATGGCGCACTACTGTCACACCCTGGTGGCAACATGAGTTTTCAATACGGCAGACTGCACACCAGTAGTGCGTGTTGAGGCTCCCTCTGGTAATAAATGGCCATGAAGAGGTCCACTCATTTTTTGAAAATGGATCTTTATGTTGCTGCTCCAGCCAGAGCACGACTCTTCTGGCACTGCTGTTGGATTGGGGGGGACTCTTCCATCTGCCCTGTTGGTTGTTCTATTTGTCCTGTCTGTTGCTCCTCTGCATGTGCGTCAATCTGTCCTGACTGTTGCTCCTCTGCTTGTTTGTCAGTCTGTCCTGTCTCCTGCTCTCTCTGTCCTTTGTGTTGCTCCTCTGTCTGTTGTCCTGTCGTTTCTATCAATCGTTCTGGCTGTTCTGTCAGTGTGTTTGTCTGTCTTTTCTCACTTGGCTGGTTCTTTAAATAAAATAAAAGGTTTCGCTTTTGTCCTGGCAAAGGTCTCTTACGGGACATATTTGAAACCTTAAACAATTCAAATGGTCATGTTGGTTTAATAACTCTACTCTCAGTTACAAAAACATACCTACTTTTATTTTACACATTTCGTGTATTTATGTTAAATTCTTTGGAATACATCTTACCTGTTCGAAATCAGCTGAGTTTACATTCACCACACTAAATCATGTTCACACGCACGCACAAACAAATAATTTATTTCAAGATTTAAAGTTTAAGAGAGTGAGTACTCAATTGGACGACATTTCATTGTTACATACCTAGTCTCAGCTCAGTTTATCAGACTTCTTGAGGTAGTGACCGTTTATTCTCCTGTTGTCTTTCGCGGCAATGGTATCTCTTCTTCTGTCGCTAACTTCGGGGTGCAGCGCATATGGTTCAGTGGCGCTCATCAGCGCCATCTACCGTCGGGGAGTTTGATAAAAGGAACGAACGAGTCTCGACCGATTTTTTTTGCGTGAGAAATTGGATGTGTGGCGTGAGTGCGTGTGAAAACAGGCAAAAATGTGTGTCACACGGCGAAAGCGTGAGAGTTGGCAGCTCTGCGTTTGCGTGGCAGACAATGATCTCATAGCTGTCCTCTGTCTGCACGGTGGATATAGCGGCTCCATCTTCATGATACTGCAGAAACCAAAGAACCAGTACAGTGTAAGGGAAAGTTATGACAGATATCCAATTTTGCACAGCACTTAACACAGATTGCTTTGAATCTCAAGAGCTAAATTGATTGTATCTCACAAGAAAAAGGTGAAGTGGGTAATTGCATCCATCTCCGGGTCTAAGAACAGCAATCACTCACCACACAGTCAGGTTTCCAGGTGATAGGTGGCACAGGCTCAATAGGAGCACCCTCTCTAAGCAGGTCACAGCTCACTTCATCCAACTAATGCAGAGAGAGAAACAGACAAGCTCCATGGTTAGGACACTTCAGACTGGAGGCTTAGAATTATTTTTGAGTTTGAGATTAGAATGAGTGGTGTCCTGTTGTCTCTGACCAGGGAGATGCTTGTTGATGATGTTGGCTGTCTCTGTGGCATGGGTCGTGGTGGAGTGGGCCATGACATCATACTTCAACCCCAAGGCAGCCAATCGCTGACCAGTGTACTCGGCCTGCTCCCGGCCTATAAATCAAATCAACCAATCAATCAGTGCTTTATTGGATTACATTTACTTCTGCCTCCTCACTGATACTTTAACGACTACATCACAGTAATCAATGCATTTCATATACACACCTAGACGGGTTAGGTCCCTCTCCTTGTCCACGCTCCCATTCAGGTTGTCCTGTGAGTGGCGGATCAGGAAGATGTGGCTTTGGGTTTGTTGTTCTCCATCTCGGTGTTCAGTTCTTCACTGGTGATCTTCTTTTTCTTCCCATTTGTCAGTGTTAGGGGGTCATGCCTTAAAAATGAATCATATGAAGAAGCAGAGATCAGTGAATTATGAAATTATTTCCCTTGGCTTCATACACAAATTCCCATAATGTCAATCAATTACATTGATTCCATAGTGCTCGTTTACTGGTTCGACCACACTCCCTTGATTGAGAGATGTGCTTACTTATCCCAGTTACTGTCCCAGCCATTCCCACTGGCTGTCACGGTGCGGTCATGGCCTGGTGAACACGTCTGAGGCACTGCTGCTTGGAGAACATCTAGTCCAGTCCATTTTCTTGAACTTCCGTTATGTTTCGTTTTTTCAAAAGAATATCCTTTTGATTCAGCCATTGCCGCAAGTACTGCTGATCCACCAGCAAGCCCACACACTAGCTTCATTACCCCCCTGAAAGACATCCTTACCAGGAAAATGAGAACAAAACGATATCACCAAACCCAGAAGAAATTACCGTAACAAACCTATCAAGCTTATTTAGCTACCACTCCTGAACTGTTAACATTATGAAGAAATAAACAAAGGATGAATGTGGGTAGACCATAAAAGCAGTAGCGCATGCACTGGAAAGATGAGGACGCAACTACGGAAAAGTAGTAGAAAGGCCAAAACGACTGAAATACCTAACGTGACCTATCAAAACAGCTTTACAGCCGTAGTACCCATATTCGCCCAATGATGTCAGTAGATAGCTATCTTCGTTGTTTTTTTCTCCTGGCTCCTGTCTGGTCCAAGGCAACGCCGAGGCTTCAACTAGGATCATGGGAAAGTCTCTTCCCACTCAAGTCAGGAAGTAGAGGGACATTTGAAATTCTTCGAAATTTTGGTATTAAAATGCTTTTTTTCATTCTCTCTGTAGGTCGAACTCTTGCAGTAAGTTAATTATAAACAAGAATAATGTTTGAATTAAATTATAGTTTACTGTTGAGATTCAGTGCAAATAGTTTGTGTTGTTAGCATCAGCTAGCCAGCCAACACACCCTGCCTTGTTGATGGGACGCCAAAGTAGCATACGTGCTAGTTAGGTAGCAGATATATCGCTGTGTTTGTGTTATCATCACTGTTTGTTTGACATGTGTGATATCTGACCGGTGGTATCTTGTCTGCATTTCGTTAAGTTAGCTAGTATCAATTCGACCTGAGATGATTGAAGTTTTGAAGTTGGTGCATGATGATGTCTCCATCAGTAACCTAAAAAGGGAGTAGCTAACTTGCGTTGTCATCGAGCATCAAACAGAAGAAACCATGGCCACGGTTCTGTTGGCTCGGATTGGTGAGGACACTTAACTGTCAATCATCCACAGAGAGATATTGACATCCATCACATCACTAGATTTTTGCAATCTTTTTGCAATCCTGACACCATGCTGATCCCACTGATCCGCTTGTCATCCAGCAGGAAAACAGACTCCTTCAAATCAACAGTGTGACACATTCACAAACTGCACAGATACTACTAGTCTGTTTTCACTAGTCTATTTCATGTTCAGAAGGAGTCTGTTTTACTGCTGGATGACAAGCGGATCAGTGAGATCAAGATGGTGTCAGGACGCACCAAGAAGAAGAAGATCCCCAAGCTTTTAGTGACCCTTTAAGTTCAACACCGTTTGATTCCATACTAACATGGCAGTAATCCTCATTCCCATGATTCATTTCCGTTTGTAGGTGTCTGGCTTGCAGGATTGCTGGTCTCTGGAGAGATGTTTCTATGGAGCAGGGACAAAGACTCCTTGAAGACCGTGGCAGCAGTCCCTACAGTAGCTCAGCTCGTCACTGCAGCCCAAGGTCAGTGTGTGCTCAGGCCATTGTTACAATGAGTCATGTTCAAGCTTGCCAACACAGCTCCATGTCATACGTGTGTATGTACACAGGGTCTGGCGTGTGCCTCTCTCTGGTGGTTTCGGGGGATGGGATGCAGGTGCTGCTGGTGGCTGTGACGGGGCTGGTGTTCCTGTGGGAGTGTGTGGACGTGTGGGACCTGGCAAGGGTACGGGATAGTACCGCCAGAGGACCCTGGGCTCAGATACAGCACCCTGAAAACACTGCTCTGCCATCCCCAAGGGACAAGGAGGCATTTCAACACAGCATCTTCATCAGGGGGGAAGTGAGGACTACTCTGTCCACAGGGATAGAAATGAGCATTTCCTCCTGTCTGTTCCTTGTTTTACCCCCTTGTTTCTTTCTCCATATCAGGCAGTTGGTGATATCTGCTTGTCAGTGTTTGTTTTCACCTCGGAGTTGGAGCTATGTTTCACTTTCTTTAAGATCCAATGGGAGGAGGGCCAGTGTCAGGTGAGTGTACTGGGAAAGACTTCTCAGGGTCAACGGGTCAATACTTCCTCTCAAGCATTTATACTCCTATATACCTTTATTTTCATAATACAATCAAAGATCTGTGTTCTCACATTGCTCATCTGGAACATCTTTGATTGTGATGTCCTGCAGTCCTGTGGGGAACAGTGTACGCTGGGTCACCAAGACACTCCATGTCCTGCCTCACCACACCCTGTTGCCCAGTGAAGTCCAGGGGGGCACTGGTCCCAGCCTTTTCCCATGAGGGCCTGCTGTTAGCCAAAGTCCTGAACTGCCTCCCTTACACCTCCCCCATGGTAAGAACATCTCAACACACACACACACATTTACCTTACTATACTTGTGAGGACTTTTTGGTGACCAGCAATTGGTTCCCATTCAAAATCCTATTTTTCCCTAACCCCAAAACCTATCCCATACCCTAACATTAACCCCTTATTCTAACCCTAACCCCTAAGCCTAAAATAGCCTTTTTACAAGTGAGGACTGGTAAAATGTCCTCACTTCTCAGAATTTTAGTTGGTTTGCTATTCTTTGTTACTCACAAGTATAGTAAAATGTGTACACACACACACAATACAGGCCAGTGTGTTGTATTTCTGTCTGTGTGTCCATTCCCTCCAGCCCCAGGGGTTGGGAGCCTGGTGCCCCTGTGCCAGGAGGGTGTGGCTGGGGAAGCAGCTGTCAGATGTGTGGACGGTGGTCTACACCTAGGACATGCTGCTGCAGGGGAGGCTGCTGCCTGAGGCCACCTGGCTGGCTTATCGTCTGGGTGACTGGAAGACTGCAGCCTCCCTGGCCTGGCCTACACCACCTACTCCACAGATCACTGCGACTTCACCGGGTCAGTCTGTGTTTGTTTGTACGTGTAAGAGCTGCTAGCTCATCAATTCACCACTGCGACATGTATATGGATTGTGGATTGTGATGAATAGGTTAAGGAGCTTTTGTGAGTTTCTGATGGCTGTTTGTTGCCACTTAAGTCTCAGGTGGAGAGAACTACATCTCCCAGCAGCCTTTTGAGCCTGGGAGAATATTTCAGGGTCAGCTGCAGTCTCTACTGGGCAGGAACGCCGGGTCAGAGGAGACCCATGGAGATGAGGATAACTACGAAAGCTTCACAAGTGTGTTGTGCCTGACGGTGGGTCTCACCACCTCCATTCTACAGTACAGTCTGACTTAATGTTTCTCTCTATTTCGCTCTCTCACGCTCTCTTTTCATAAACACTCTTATCATTCTCAACCCGCTCTCAGACTTTCTGGAGGATGAGGACATGGAGTTCCTGAATGCGTCAGTCATGTCTGAGGTAGATGTGTTGTCTCAGCCCCCTGGGTGCTCTGCTGAACTCAGCCAAAGACCTGTCCTCCAGCTGTTGGAGGGGACGTCGTGTCACAGGGTGTCAGGGGTCCTCCAGAGGGTGATGCTGCTCCTGAGATCTGCCCAGTGGTACATCAGCCACCTGCGACGCTCTCGACATCGCCTACACAAGGTATTTAGTCCCTTTCTCCTACACAAGGTATTTAGTCCCTTTCTCCTGCACGAGGTATTTAGTCCCTTTCTCCTACTCAAGGTATTTAGTCCCTTTCTCCTACACAAGGTATTTAGTCCCTTTCTCCTACACAAGGTATTTAGTCCCTTTCTCCTACACAAGGTATTTAGTCCCTTTCTCCTACACAAGGTATTTAGTCCCTTTCTCCTGCACGAGGTATTTAGTCCCTTTCTCCTGCACGAGGTATTTAGTCCCTTTCTCCTACTCAAGGTATTTAGTCCCTTTCTCCTACACAAGGTATTTCGTCCCTTTCTCCTACACAAGGTATTTCGTCCCTTTCTCCTACACAAGGTATTTAGTCCCTTTCTCCTACACAAGGTATTTAGTCCCTTTCTCCTACACAAGGTACTGTACCCTGCTATCTTGCTCTTACCCCCATCTCCAGCACTCTGTCCCTACACTCTCTCCCCCCCTACTCCTATCTGTTTTAACTCTTAGAATAGATAGTCACCTTCATAAAGTGTGAGAAACCCCTCAATTGTCTTGAGTGAAATGAGACTATTTGGAGTATTATGTTGGATCTTGTGGTGACTAACTTGGTGGTTGGTCTTTAGATCCGTCAGTAGTACGCCCAGCAGCAGCAGCAGTGTGTGGCCAAGGCCTTTCTAGAGGCTCTGATGAAGTTTGTGAACCGCGGTGGATTCTTCAGACTGGGACCCAGTGGGGACGGAACCTTGGACTCGGTCACTATACAAACTATTAGTAAGAGACTTTCTATGTTTGTCACACCATTGGACTACATTCATCCATTGAAGCATAGCCTAATTCGAGAACCTTTTTCCTCCAGTCTGCTTTAGCGAGCTGTGTGGCCTGTGCCGGATGCTGCATGTTAGCTCTCAATGTCTTGCAGGAAGTATCAGGCTGCAAGGAACCGTGGGAGAGATCCCCAGGGACAACACAACTGTTTTACTGTGTCTATTGCTTGTTGTATCTTCTTCAGCCTGGAGTGTGTGTGTTATCCTCAATCATTTATAGTCAGTTAACAACCTGCTAATGCATATTTCATCCTTTAGGTCCCAGCATATGACGGTGAGGTGACAGCAGCCTGTGACGAGGCTCTCCACTGGGCCTGTCGTTTCCTTCCCTTCTCCCGCTTCCTCAACGCAGAGGAGATCCTCCAGGACACCCTCCTCAACTTGGTCTCTGATCTACCCCTGGTAAACCTGACCAGCAGTCACATTTAGACCAGAGGACTCCATCATACCCCCGCAAGAGAGCAATGAGGACAAGCCTGAAGAGCCTGTTCTTGGGGAGGGCTTTGTCTTTCCTCTTTGGGACCTTTGACTCCACCATGCTGACTGGTCAGGGATTGTTGGACAGGGCTCTGTCTACTGCAGCTGAGCTCCATGCCTTTGCCGCCACACACAAGAGACCTCCTGGGAGCCACGATGCCTGCGTCAACACAGACCCAGCTTCTCCTCACTCAGATGAAGCCGTTTCTGCCCAACCTGCTGTCACTACTGCTGTTTCTGGACCTGCCACTCTCCCTCCTGAATTGTTCCTGAATCTGCGGTTCCCTAGAGACCCTCCTGTCCAGGACACAGAGACACCACGGGAGACCCAATTAGAGAGGAACACGGTGAGAGGACTATATAATGAAAACATCTAATGGAACATGTTCAATACACCGGTACAGATCATTTATCCTGTTTCATGCATATTATTATTTATTACTTTTTTTACTTTTACCCCTTTTTCTCCCCACCACAAGGAGTCGCTAGAGCGCGATGGAACAAGGAATTCCCAGCCGGTCAAACTCTCCCCTAACCCGGACGACGCTGGGCCAATTGTGCGCCGCCTCATGGGTCTCCCGGTCACGGCCGAACCCGGGTCTGTAGTGACGCCTCAAGCACTGCAATGTTTCATGCATTTTAATCGCTATGTAATGGTCTTATCTCTCTCTCTCCCTGACTCTCAGGATGTGCAGGGTCGTCAGTTCATAAATGTGATAGATCTGGAGGATGGGGCTCTGCTACAGGAGTTGCCTGCGGTGCGGGACCGGGACGTCACCCCCTTTCAGCCCTCTCCCCCCACCTCTGCACAACTCCACCTGCTAGCAGCCTCCGTCACCAACTCAGCCCCTCCGGAACTCACTGCAGACACCAGAGCAGAGGATGACCTACCCCAAGCTCAGCCAGGTAGTCTGAGTCAATATCATCTATTCACTCTGCTACAATAACAGTAGAGTTGTAGCTACGTTTCTCCAAATACAGTATTGTCTGTCTGTAATATGTCCTGTGTCTCCTCCAGGCATCTCTGTAGCGTCCCCTCCACATGCCCACCCTGAGCCCAGTGGAAACCCAGTGAGTCAGCCTGCTGCAGGAGAGGAGAGCCCCAGGCCGGGCCATGGAGACCAGGAGTCCATGGTCCCATCGCGGAGCTCCATCCAGGGCCTCAGTGATCCAGGTGTCTGCCCATCTGTCTGAGATGGATGCCCAGCTAGCTGCCTTACAGAACATCGCAGATTACATGGAAAGAGAGTTTGCCAATAGCAGACTGGTAACGTAGCTTTGTGGGATTTACATTTATACTCCTAAACTGGCCTGTGTCCTCTTGTCTGCCTGATTATTGGCAAGTCAATGAGTGTTGGAGAGAAGAACACCACTGAACAACTCACCTCCTTGCAGCAGTATTCAGGTCTGTATCATCTGCTTTAGTAAGCTGTATGTTGATTGTGTGTTTCTCTTGCAGATTTGACAGACATGGATGGAGCATCTGGAAAGTAAGTGTGTGAACTGATAGTGCTCATTTAACATTTCTAAATGTTACTAAATACATTACTGCTGTTAGTTACCCTCTGTGCATTACCCTCTTACATTTTTTATTAGATTTCTTAACTCAAAAGTTAAGCATTTAACTTTACTTGTGCACGTGACAACTTTAATTGAACTGACTATCTCCTGGGACAAGATGTGTGCAGGGGTCACAAGGGAAGGATCACAATAAAGGAAACCCATTGATGTGCCTTTATTTACATTTACATCATTTAGCAGACGCTCTTATCCAAAGCGACTTACAAATTGGTGCATTCAAGTTATGATTTTTTTTTGAGGAGGGGGGGTCTGGGGTAGAAGGATTACTTTATACTATTCCAGGTATTCCTTAAAGAGATAGGGTTTCAAGTGTCTCCGGAAGGTGGTCAGTGACTCCGCTGTCCTGGCGTCGTGGGGGAGCTTGTTCCACCATTGGGGTGCCAGAGCAGCGAATAGCTTTGACTGGGCTGAGCGGGAACTGTGCTTCCGTAGAGGTAGGGGAGCTAGCAGGTCAGAGGTGTATGAACGTAGTGCCCTCGTTTGGGTGTAGGGTCTGATCAGAGCCTGAAGGTAAGGAGGTGCCGTTCCCCTCACAGCTCCGTAGGCAAGCACCATGGTCTTGTAGTAGATGCGAGCCTCAACTGGAAGCCAGTGGAGTGTGCGGAGGAGCGGGGTGACATGAGAGAACTTGGGAAGGTTGAACACCAGACGGGCTGCAGCGTTCTGGATAAGTTGTAGGGGTTTAATGACACAGGCAGGGAGCCCAGCCAACAGCGAGTTGCAGTAATCCAGACGGGAGATGACAAGTGCCTGGATTAGGACCTGTGCCGCTTTCTGTGTAAAGTAGGGTCGTACTCTGCGAATGTTGTAGAGCATGAACCTGCAGGAAAAGGTCACCGCTTTGATGTTAGCGGAGAACGACAGGGTGTTGTCCAGGGTCACGCCAAGGTTCTTTGCACTCTGGGAGGAGGACACAATGGAGTTGTCAACCATGATGGCGAAATCATGGAGCGGGCAGTCCTTCCCCGGGAGGAAGAGCAGCTCCGTCTTGCCGAGGTTCAGCTTGAGGTGGTGATCTGACATCCACACTGATATGTCTGCCAGACATGCAGAGATGCGATTCACCACCTGGTTATCAGAAGAGGGAAAGGAGAAAATTAATTGTGTGTCGTCTGCATAGCAATGATAGGAGAGACCATGTGAGGATATGACAGAGCCAAGTGACTTGGTGTATAGAGAGAATAGGAGAGGGCCTAGAACTGAGCCCTGGGGGACACCAGTGGTGAGAGCACGTGGTGCGGAGACAGATTCTCGCCACGCCACCTGGTAGGAGCGACCTGTCAGGTAGGACGCAATCCAAGAGTGAGCAGCGCCGGAGATGCCCAACTCGGAGAGGGTGGAGAGGAGGATCTGATGGTTCACAGTATCAAAGGCAGCGGATAGGTCTAGAAGGATAAGAGCAGAGGAGAGAGAGTTAGCTTTAACAGTGCGGAGAGCCTCCGTGACACAGAGAAGAGCAGTCTCAGTTGAATGACCAGTCTTGAAACCTGACTGGTTTGGATCAAGAAGGTCATTCTGAGAGAGATAGCAGGAGAGTTGGCTAGAGACGGCACGCTCAAGAGTTTTGGAGAGAAAAGAAAGAAGGGATACTGGTCTGTAGTTGTTGACATCAGAGGGATCGAGTGTAGGTTTTTTGAGGAGGGGTGCAACTCTCGCTCTCTTGAAGACGGAAGGGACATAGCCAGCGGTCAAGGATGAGTTGATGAGCGAGGTGAGGTAAGGGAGAAGGTCTCCGGAAATGGTCTGGAGAAGAGAGGAGGGGATAGGGTCAAGCGGGCAGGTTGTTGGGCGGCCGGCCGTCACAAGTCGCAAGATTTCATCTGGAGAGAGAGGGGAGAAAGAAGTCAAAGCATAGGGTAGGGCAGTGTGAGCAGGACCAGCGGTGTCATTTGACTTAATAAATTAGGATCGGATGTCGTCAACCTTCTTTTCAAAATGGTTGACGAAGTCATCCACAGAGAGGGGAGGGGGAGGAGGAGGAGGTGGCAAAGAGCTTCCTAGAGTTAGAGGCAGAGGCTTGAAATTTAGAGTGGCTGAAAGTGGCTTTAGCAGCAGAAACAGAGGAAGAAAATGTAGAGAGGAAGGAGTGAAAAGATGACAGGTCCGCAGGGAGTCTAGTTTTCCTCCATTTCCGTTCGGTTGCCCGAAGCCCTCTTCTGTGAGCTCGCAATGAGTCGTCAAGCCACGGAGCAGGAGGGGAGGACCGAGCCGGCCGGGAGGATAGGGGACGTAGAGAGTCAAAAGATGCAGAAAGGGAGGAGAGGATGGTTGAGGAGGCAGAATCAGGAGATCGGAGGGAGAAGGATTTAGCAGAGGGAAGAGATGATAGGATGGAAGAGGAGAGAGTAGCGGGAGAGAGAGAGCGAAGGTTGCGACGGCGCATTACCATCTGAGTAGGGGCAGAGTGAGTAGTGTTGGAGGAGAGCGAGAGAGAAAAGGATACAAAGTAGTGGTCGGAGACTTGGAGGGAGGTTGCAGTGAGATTAGTAGAAGAACAGCATCTAGTAAAGATGAGGTCAAGCGTATTGCCTGCCTTGTGAGTAGGAGGGGACGGTGAGAGGGTGAGGTCAAAAGAGGAAAGGAGTGGAAAGGAGGAGGCAGAGAGAAATTAGTCAAAGGCAGACGTAGGGTGGTTAAAGTCACCCAGAACTGTGAGGGGTGAGCCATCCTTTATCCTTTATGCTGTTATATTATTTGAAAGTGGCTCAACTGTTCATGGGAGCATGTGGAAGGAAGTAGGTACTGTGTGTGTCTTGTCATGACTTCTCTTGGGACCAGAGAATCAGCATCATCGTATTATCGGTACTCATGGTGCTTTCAAGACAACTCTGAACCTCTGAGTTAAAATGTGCATACGGTTTTTGCGTAGAGCTTCCTATTGGTTGATTCTGATACTTTCAAAGGGGGAAACTCTGAGCTCATCTTTATACAATGAGTTTCCAAGTGAAATTTCAGTTTCGAGTTGTCTTGAACGTAGCATCAGCATCATGCCACATCTTTGTAGTGTATTGATTGAGTTTGTCATGTCAGTTTTCAGAGATCCAGTGTGTGTGTGTGTGTGTATATATGACATTTTTGTTTTGTGTTTAAAATACCTGTAAATTATTATTTTTTATAAGAATTTATGTACATAATCAGCTGATGTTGATTTCCATGAAATAAAGTGTTTGAATGTATTCTTTGTGCTTTGATGCATAGTTCAACATGTTTTTGCTATATTTTTTTATAAAGACTGATGTGCTATGACGTGTCTCTTTTTTTTTTTGGAAGATACAACATCTTGACATTGGTTACTTCAAATAACATCTACGCAAAAGTCAACTACTGTATGTGGGAACATTATCAGTAGATAGAAATGACCACTGGGTGGCAGTGGCTTAGGCGCTTTTGTTGAAATATTGAAGCAGCTTCCGGGGTTATAGTTCAAGTAAACTTTGAAACATGGATCCTAACAAAACGGGCAATGGTAAACGTTATTAGCTGTTTTTTGGGGAGTAAATTTGATAATTATCTAAATAAATGGTTGCAGGAAACAATGTTTCTAGCAAGCATGATTATTCAGTGTGCTGAAAGTTCGATCATCCTATTGTTACTGCTTGCTAGCTAGCATTTTTGGTAGCCAGCTAACGTTAGTTACTACAGGAACTCTTTCAATGAGCAATGCATTCTGAAATATTTTCTGAATTAAACATGTTTCCAACCTGCAAAGTAGCTCAATCTAAACAAAGTGTGTGTCCTCGTGCAGCTTTCAATCCACAGCACGCGGCAGTAGTAAATAACTTTAGTTAGCTGTTTGTCTGGAGTGTAGTCGGTTTATCAGTCAATGATGTATACAAACTGTCATAGTGTGACGATGCTAACATATTGTACAAGTATTGACATTTGTATCTATTTCTTGTTTTAAAAAACAAAGTCAAGTGGTGAATGAATGAAGCAGTCAGTGGGAATGAAACTTTTTCCTGTCTTTTAGCGTCCTACCAGAGGAATGCAGATATGGCCTCTGTCATGGGATTCTCTGGCTTTGGTAAGTGTTACTTTCCTTGGCCTTCATATCAACCTGATATCAACCAACGGTGGAAAAAGTACCCAATTGTCATACTTGAGTGAAAGTAAAGATCCCATAATAGAAAATGACTGAAGTGAAAGTCACCCAGTAAAATCCTATTTGTGTATACTTAAATATAAATAGTAAATGTAATTGCTAAAATATACTAAAGTATCAAAAGTAAAAGTATAAACCATTTCAAATTCCTTATATTAAGCAAACCAGACGGCACCATTTTCTTATTTGTATTTTTTTTTTACAATTTACGGATAGCCAGGGGCATGCTCCAACCCTCAGACAGTTTACAAACGAAGCATGTGCTTAGTGAGTCCGCCAGATCAGAGGCAGTAGGGATGACCAGGGATGTTCTCATGATAAGTGTGTGAATTAGACCATTTTCCTGTCCTGCTAAGCATTCAGGGGAAATGTATGGAGTAAGACATCATTGTAAAGACAAGAAGTGTAAAGTTGTCAAAAATATAAATAGTAAAATAAGTACAGATCACTGATATCAACAACAAATTCACCATAAATGTGTTTTAAAATGTGAATACAGCATTTTCATACCAGCCTTTCTCGCTTCCATCTAGGAAAGAAAGCCTGCATTTTTCAGCTGGATGGCATCTTTGAGCAGACCCGAAGACCGCTGACGACACACAACTGACGACACACAACTAATCTTCTCCTTTCCCCCTTCTGATCTCGCCATCACGGTTGACAACTCCGTTGTGTCCTCCTGCCAGAGTGCGAAGAGCCTTGGCGTGACCCTGGACAACACCCTGTCGTTCTCCGCTAACATCAAGGCGGTGACCCGATCCTGCAGGTTCATGCTCTACAACATTCGGAGAGTACGACCCTACCTTACACAGGAAGCGGCACAGGTCCTAATCCAGGCACTTGTCATCTCCCGTCTGGATTACTGCAACTCGCTGTTGGCTGGGCTCCCTGCCTGTGCCATTAAACCCCTACAACTCATCCAGAATGCCGCAGCCCGTCTGGTGTTCAACCTTCCCAAGTTCTCTTACGTCACCCCGCTCCTCCGCACACTCCGCACACTCCACTGGCTTCCAGTTGAAGCTCGCATCTGCTACAAGACCATGGTGCTTGCCTACGGAGCTGTGAGGGGAACGGCACCTCCGTACCTTCAGGCTCTGATCAGTCCCTACACCCAAACGAGGGCATTGCGTTCATCCACCTCTGGCCTGCTGGCTCCCCTACCTCTGTGGAAGCATAGTTCCCGCTCAGCCCAGTCAAAACTGTTCGCTGCTCTGGCACCCCAATGGTGGAACAAGCTCCCTCACAACGCCAGGACAGCGGAGTCACTCACCACCTTCCGGAGACATTTGAAACCCCACCTCTTTAAGGAATACCTGGGATAGGATAAAGTAATCCTTCTACCCCCCCCTTACCCCAACCCCCAAACCAAAAACAAAAAAACAAACAAAAAAAACATTGTAAAGTGGTGATCCCACTGGCTGTAAGGTGAATGCACCTATTTGTAAGTCGCTCTGGATAAGAGCGTCTGCTAAATGACGTAAATGTAATGTAAATGAGTCAGCAAGTATTAGGTTTATGACATAGCTAAGTGCATTTTAACTCAGTTTTAGTGTGTGGGTGTTTTAAGTGTCTAACTTCTGTTGTGTCTCCCTCAGAGGAGAGGCAGAAGGAAGAGGCAGAGGATAGCTCCCATACAGCCAAGGCATCAAGCTCCAAACAGAGAGACAGAGCTCCTGCACACAGGTAACACACACAATCCATCCTAACTGACCAATTACTTTTACATGCTCTGAGTTAAAATAACTGGGTGGGAGGTTCATTCAATTGCACTGGATTTAGTATTTTATTAGGATCCCCAATAGCTGTTGCTAAGGCAGCAGCTACTCTTCCTGGGGTCCACATAAAACATGGCATAATACAGAACATTAATGAACAAGAACAGTTCAAGGACAGAACTACATACATTTTAAGAATCGAGTGTTGTTATTATTACCAGTGTGTGATTGGCTGGATTATAATAACCCATGGGCCTCTATCACCCTCTACCATGCAGGAAGAAGGAGAGTGGCAGCGGCAGCAGTGACTCAGAGCTCATCCCCCACCCCCCCAGTGCCCCAACATCTGATTGGTCAGGAGGAGGATGATAACTTGGTGGGGCCACCACTACCACCAGGGTACAGAGAAAGCACAGCAGACGATGATAATGAGGATATGCAGATGAAGAAGATGATGTAAGTCTGTTTGTGTTTCCACTTTGCACACAAGGAAACGACTGAACGTTTTACATAGATTTACTTGAGGTTAAAAAACATCCGCTCCCATACTGTTGCTAAACCACTTCTTAAGTACATACATTTACATTAGCAGGACAAGTATATTCATACTGATGATCTTCATACGTTTCAGTCTGCAACACTGAAAAATGTACAGTCATAAAAGCCGCATAATTATTTTTGTGTTGTGTTCTTACTATGTTATACCACCAGAGGGTAGCACAGTCTTAGCATTGCCTGAGACTAGCTTTATCGTTCCATTTTACACAATGGTCTTCACAAGGAATCATGGGAAGCAAGAGTTGGCTTTCTCACACCAAGCTCCTGATAAAAAACCATTGTTTTAAAGTATGTAGGCCACTGAAAGGCAGCGCCCAAAGACACTTGGCCAGATGGTTTTCTCCTTAAAAAAACGTATCTCTCATCTCCCCCTCTCACTCTGAGTAGTAAATGTCTCTTCGCTGTGTGTGCGATATGGGTGATGTAGTCCATAGTGTTGTCACGAGACCAGTATAACTATACCAGGAAGCAAAGGAAAATAAACAGTCCTAATGTTGGAAAAAACAGCCTTATATTGTCACCCAGAGTCACATTTGTTTCTTTTCCAAGCTATAGCACATAATATTGTATAGAAATAGGTTTTAAAGGACTATAGAGTTTAGTCTGCTTTGTGTTTTTCTTTTTTGACAAGGAAAATGTGGTATCGTAGTATTGCGATACTGGTATCGTGACAACACTAATAGCCTAGACACCCAGCGTTCTCAGGGCAGGGGTGATTTGAGGCCACCACAGTGATGGATGGTGTCCTGTGACAGGTCGGCCTCTGGTAATAACACAGCCCTCAGGCCAAACAAAGCCCTCCCATTGGGTGCAGGTGTAGCTAGTGGGCACTGCTGTGGAAGAAAACCAGCCTGTAACATATCACACAGCCCATTAAAGCTGAAATATCGTGTATGACAGAGTGCCAGGCAGCCCACTCCACCACCAACCACCAACACATGTATGACAGTCCACTTCCTCTCTCTCTCTCAGAATCCAGTGAAGAAGATTCCAGACACTCATGAGTTCACTCTGTAGCATGGCTCTAAAACAGTAAGTATTTTCCTACTTTTCTCCCTTTTAAACCCCCTCTATATTTATTAACTGCAATTTTATAGCACCTTCCAATGTGGATTCCAAGTCCAAACTGCTCATTGGTGCTCAATGCACTCATGAGCACGTTTTACATATAGCACCCAGTAATGAGCATATTTCCCAGTGAACCTCTCCTCAGATTCATCAAAAGGCTAGGCAATGCACAGCCAGACGAACGACTGGGACTCTCAGCCAAGATTGTGTCCATTGTGCACTAAGCTGAGCCGTCATTCTCTGGCTGGTTAGAATGTGCGCTAGTAGCCTGGCAGCTAATATGTGTTAGTTGTAAGCTCCCTGGCAGGTGAAGTAACCTCTGTCTGCTCCTTCCCTGCTCAGGTGTCCGCCTTGGCATTGGACCCCTCTGGATCCCGCCTGGTCACCGGGGGATACGACTTTGACGTGCGCTTCTGGGACTTTGCTGGGATGGATGCAGCTCTGAATTCCTTCAGGACAATACAACCCTGTGAATGGTGAGTCCACCACCTAGACTAGAACATACACATACCTACCGAAGCGCTCACACACATGCACAAACGTGTTGTTGTCTCGCTTCAGTGAACCTCATGTTAACGGTAGTACCTCATGTCTGAGGAATGGATCCTCGCACTTTAATTGGAGAGCTTGTGTACATGTGTATCACTGTGTATTTAATTTGAGTTTTGTGGAACCCATCAGGGAATGCATTCTCAGGGGTTTTGAGAACCAATGGGCTGAGCTGGAGCGGGCTTTCCCTGAATGTTATTAGCAGAACTCTACGCCATATTTAGCCTGATTACAGAGCCATCCATTAGCTTTTGCAGTCACTGACACACTGGGCCATATTTGGAGAGCCGTGCGAAGCCCACTGTTCCTCCCTTCATGTCCTGCAGGGCTCACACTAATGTTAGGGTCTTCTCCTCAACGAGGAACCTTGATTGGTTCACTGACTCTTTCTCTAAAGGAAATCCAATGAGTGATTCCTGCACTGTGTTCAAGTCCCTGGAGATAGGAACCCACTTTATTTAACAATGGTCCCCATCCCTGAGCTTTCTGCTTCCCACACGAAAATGTCTCTGGCCCCTCTACCCCCTGCTGTGTTAATGCGGTTTGATATTGACCTGAATTGCTATCTGCACTTTGGGAGAGTAGTTATGTGCGTGCCGCGTGTTGTATGCTTGTGCAGCTTAGTGGGTAACAGTTCAGCAAACAGATTGGTATTGTGAAGGGGTTGCTGGTGGAGCTAAATACCAATCTTTGGGCTCATTTGAGCCCTCCGCTCTCCTTTTGTTGCTGGAAAGAAGAAACCCAACTATGTCTAGTGCAGCCAAGGCTAGGCTCGGTGTGTGTTCCATTCTCCTGTTCCAGTCTGATGGGCTTTTCATTGTGTTGAGTCTGAGGGACAGAGGGAGACCCAGACCTAGACATCTCCACTGTCTGTCTGTATTATAGCACTTTACATTGTTTGCGAGATCAGACATAATATCACTCACTATACTGAGTTTTCATTTTTGGAAGTTGCTTTCATTTCATTCAGCGCATCTAATTTGTAAACATTTCAACTGTATTAAATTATTAATTTTTATTTATTAAAGTTATTTATTATCTTTCTTGTGCTGTAAGTGTCGAGACGATGCGTTAAATCTCAGACGAAGTGTTCTTATAGATGCAACAGAAAAACAACGTATTCCATTGAGACCATTTCAGCCATTACCGGGTGTGTGTTTGACAGGTCATTACAAACATTTCCACGATTATAACATTAACAGGAAAAAACGACAGGCACAAGCAAGAATATGAAAGAGTCGCAGGAGTAAATAGAAAGCAATCAATCCAGCGAGATTTAAGTGACAAGTGGATTTTGCATCCCTCAAACACAGGAAATAGATGGCTGAAAAAGACATCCTCAGGTGGGCGGGGCATGCGCACTGCATCGCTCTGTGATGTGTGTTGTCACGGTTCCTATGGTTATAGGAGCCTATTGGTTATTTTAGTCTGTTTTAAAACTTCTTCAGGATTGAAAGCTGTTATATAACAATGCTGAATCTCTGATGGATTTCCTACTTATTCCTTCCTGATTCCAGGAATCTTCGAACCAGGAATTCTGGAAAACCAGGGAATTTCGTGAAAGTTACTGGATTTTTGCAACCCTACACAGGAATGATAAGTAAAAAGCTTTGCCTTTCTCATCCTCTCACTTTGTGTCCCCTCTCAGCCACCAGATCAGGTCCCTGCAATACAGCATCACCGGTGATGTCATCCTGGTGGTCTCTGGGAATGCCTAGGTCAAGGTGTTGGACTGAGACGGGTTCTCGGTCATGGAGTGTCCCAATGGAGACCAGTACATTGTGGACATGGCTAACACTAAGGTACGCACTCATCTCCTACTCTCAAATATGTGGTTCCTCTGTAGCTGAGCACTGTAGATTTGAGTTCCACAAAGTGGGTGTGGAAGAGGTGATTATTTAAATAAGGACAAAGCACCTGATACCGACAACCTTGATAGTATATTGCTGAGGTTGGTAGCGGAATACATTGTGACTCCTGTTTGCCACATCTTCAATTAACCATAGAAGACAGTGTGTGCCCTCATACATGGAGGGAGGCAAAGGTCATTCCGCTACCCAAGAATAGCAGACCACCCTTTAATGGTTCAAACAGCTGACCAATCAGCCTGTTACAGGTGCTTAGCAAACTTTTGAGTAGCTGATGCTTTTGCAGCGACATAATAATAAATACAAAAAACTGAGAAGGGAAGAGCAAAATCCATCAGACGCTATGGCCACTGAAGCAAGCTTTTGGGCCTAGACCTAGCTTTGTATCAGTGATGACCCCTGCACTGTGTGTTCTCAGGGTAATTCTGCAGCTTAGTTTGTGTATGGGGTAATGATGTATACTGTACTTACAGCTGGACGCACTCAGAGTAGGAGAGGGTGATGACATTCACAACTAGTGACCAGGGTTGCATTCATTCAATATGTCTAGGGTGAACTTTTGCTGCTTAAAAGGCTGTTATTGACTGTCAATTTGCAGAGCATGGTCTGCATGGTGGCTGGTCAATAACCATCCCAGGTAGCTGCAATGCCACTTGCATACCTAATGAGCATGATGTGGTAGAGATTATTTCCCCAGTAGGAGAACTGTGTTATGTTGACTGCAGCTGGGTGTGTCTCTACATTCCTGTGGATCCCTGCTCCATTGGGTCTGTAACTGGCAGCAGGCTTCTGGGTAGTGAAGCTCTGCAGTGGACCACTGAAGGTGACCCAGCTAATGGCCAAAACAAATGTTCTCATATCACTATATCACCACCACACGCGCACTAGTCTCTCTCCCTCACTCTCTTCTGTGCTCCGTCTCTCGCACAACACCCACCCATACTTTTATGCTCTCTCTCACACTGTACTCACACACACTAAAGCAGAGTAGGGAACATGTGCCGATCCACATCAACGGGACTGCAGTAGAGAGAGTCAGCAGTTTTAAGCTCCTCGGCGTCCACATCACCGAGGACTTGACATGGACCAACAACACCACCACCGTTGTCTAGAGGGCGCAACAGCATCTCTACTTCCTTAGGCGGCTGAAGAAATTCAGCATGCCACCCCGGGTCCTCTTCAAATACTACTTCTGCACCATTGAGAGTGCCCTGACCGGTTGCATCACGGTCTGGTACGGGAATTGCGCCTTTCACGACCGCATGGCCCTCCAGAGGGTGGTGAAGACGTCCCAGTACATCACTGGGACCTTGTTCCCACCCATCCAGGACATCTATTTGAAACGGTGACTGAGAAAGGCCCGCAGCATCATCAAGGACCCCACACACCCCAGCCGCGAGTTGTTCACTTACCGTTGGGCAGACGGTATCGGAGCATGAGGTCTGATACTAACAGGCTCAGAGACAGTTTCTATCTACAAGCCACCAGACTGCTGAACACTTAAACTAGATTGACTACCTGCACTGACTCTCTGAACCTTAGCACACATGCACACACCCACACAGATATACAATAATCCACACACACATACTGTTCCTTCAGGAAGTATTCACACCATTTGACTTTTTCCACATTTTGTTGTTAAAGCCTGAATTTATAATTGATTAAGTTGAAATTGTGTGTCACTGGCCTACACACAATACCCCATAATGTCAAAGTGGAATTATGTTTTTAGACATTTTTACAAATTAATTATGAAAAGCTGAAATGTCTTGAGTCAATAAGTATTCAACCCCTTTGTTATGGCAAGCCTAAATAAGTTCAGGAGTCAAAATGTGCTTAACTAGTCACATAATAAGTTGCATGGACTCACTCTGTGTGCAATAATAGTGTTTAACATGATTTTTGAATGACTACCTCATCTCTGTACCCCACACATACAATTATCTGTACGGTCCCTCAGTCGAGCAGTGAATTTCAAACACAGATTCAACCACAAAGACCAGGGAGGTTTTCCAATGCCTCTCAAATAAGGGTACATATTGGTAGATGGGTAAAAAATCAGACATTGATTATCCCTTTGAGCATTGTGAAGTTATTAATTACACTTTGGATGATCTATCAATACACCCAGTCACTACAAAGATACAGACATCCTTCCTAACTCAGTTGCCGGAGAGGAAGGAAACCACTCAGGGATTTCACCATGAGGCCAATGGTGACTTTAAAACAGTTACAGTTTAATGGCTGTGATAAGAGAACTGAGGATGGATCCACAATATTGTAGTTACTCCACAATACTAACTTAAATGACAGAGTGAAAAGAAGAAAGCTTGTACAGAATACAAATATTTGCAATAAGGCACTAAAGTCGAACTGCAAAAAATTCTGTTCATGTAAGGAAATCAGTCAATTTAAATAAATAAATTAGGCCATAATCTATGGATTTCACATGACTGGGCAGGGGCGCAGCCATGGGTGTGCCTGGGAGGGCATAGGCCCACCCGCCCACCCAGCCAATCAGAATGTTTTTTTCCCCCCACAAAAGGGCTTTATTACAGACAGAAATACTCCCCCTCATCAGGTGAGAAGCCGGATGTGGAGATCCTGGGCTGGCGTTGTTACACGTGGTCTGCGGTTGTGAGGCTGATTGGACGTACTGCCAAATTCAATAAAAATACGTTGTAGGCAGCTTATGGTAGAGAAATGAACATTCAATTATCTGGCAACAGCTCTGGTGAACATTCCTGCTGTCAAAATGCCAATTGCACGCTGCCTCAACTTGAGATGTGTGGCATTGTGTTGTGACAAAATGGCACATTTTAGACTGGCCTGTTATTGTCCCCAGCATAAGGTGCACCTGTGTAATGACCATGCTGTTTAATCAGCTTCTATCTTGGCAAAGGAGAAATGCTCACTAACAGGGATGTGAACATATTTGTGCAAAACATTTTAGCGAAATAAGCTTTTTGTGCGTGTGGAACATTTCTGGGATCTTTTATTTCAGCTCATGAAACATGGGGCCAACACTTTACATGTTGTGTTTATATTTTTGTTCAGTGTATATAAATTGTGCCTTTCTGTATTATCCTAAAAATGTTTTTCTACTGAGCCATTTACTTTGTGTTTGTATTAGCTTTTATTTCTTGTTTTATTGTCGAATGAACCTGCAAGTAAGCATTTCATTGGACAGTGAATAGCATGTGTATCTTGTAATTATGACTAATAAAACGTCCTTAGTATCAGTGAGGCTGATTTCCGCCCAGGTTCTGTTTGTAATTGTATGAAAATGTATGCACTCACTAACTGTAAGTCGCTCTGGATAAGAGCGTCTGCTAAATGACTAAATTTATTTATTTATTATTTAATTAGGCCCATTCTCTTGATGTGGTGTTTACTGTCAGTGTGTATCAGTCTGGTTCTCTTTAGGCATTGACAGTTGGCTCTCCTCTCCTGTTATATTGGGAAGGAGGGGAATCAGACCTGCATAGCAACGGTAGTTCCTCCAGTCCAATTAAAAAACGACCGGAGCTGTTAGTTTTTGAAAAAAATTCTAAAAACCTGTTTTTGCTTTGTAATTATTGGGTATTGTGTGTAGATTGATGAGGAAAATGTTGTATTTATTTATAATAAGGCTGTAACGTAACATAATGTGGAAAAAGTCAAGGGGTCTGAATACTTTCCGAATGCACTGTATATTCAAACCATATACTCACTCACACACACACACACTACATTGGCACTCCCATAAAAAACCCACACACATTCACATACAATACATACATACATACATACATACATACAACTATGACAGACAAAATGAGGAAAAAAAATCCAGAAAATCACATTGTAGGATTTTTTATGAATTTATTTGCAAATTATGGTGGAAAATAAGTATTTGGTCACCTACAAACAAGCAAGATTTCTGGCTCTCACAGACCTGTAACTTCTTCTTTAAGAGGCTCCTCTGTCCTCCACTCGTTACCTGTATTAATGGCACCTGTTTGAACATGTTATCAGTATAAAAGACACCTGTCCACAACCTCAAACAGTCACACTCCAAACTCCACTATGGCCAAGTCAAAGAGCTGTCAAAGGACACCAGAAACAAAATTGTAGACCTGCACCAGGCTGGGAAGACTGAATCTGCAATAGGTAAGCAGCTTGGTTTGAAGAAATCAACTATGGGAGCAATTATTAGGAAATGGAAGACATACAAGACCACTGATAATGTCCCTCGATCTGGGGCTCCACGCAAGATCTCACCCCGTGGGGTCAAAATGATCACAAGAATGGTGAGCAAAAATCCCAAAACCACACGGGGGACCTAGTGAATGACCTGCAGAGAGCTGGGACCAAAGTAACAAAGCCTACCATCAGTAACACACTACGCCGCCAGGGACTCAAATCCTGCAGTGACAGACGTGTCCCCCTGCTTAAGCCAGTACATGTCCAGGCCCGTCTGAAGTTTGCTAGAGTGCATTTGGATGATCCAGAAGAGGATTGGGAGAATGTCATATGGTCAGATGAAACCAAAATAGAACTTTTTGGTAAAAACTCAACTCGTCGTGTTTGGAGGACAAAGAATGCTGAGTTGCATCCAAAGAACACCATACCTACTGTGAAGCATGGGGGTGGAAACATCATGCTTTGGGGCTGTTTTTCTGCAAAGGGACCAGGACGACTGATCCGTGTAAAGGAAAGAATGAATGGGGCCATGTATCGTGAGATTTTTAGTGAAAACCTCCTTCCATCAGCAAGGGCATTGAAGATGAAACGTGGCTGGGTCAATCAGTATGACAATGATCCCAAACACACCGCCCGGGCAACGAAGGAGTGGCTTCGTAAGA